TGGATCTTGTTGTCTCGTCTGCAAACCTCTGAGTAAAATATTTCGTTTGGACACTTATATAATTAACTTCCGTTTTGTCCATCCTCAGCCCCCAGAGGGAGGCTAAACTGTTATTCTGGGTTTAACTTCCAACTCGTGGATCTGGAAACCCCACATCAACATGCAATCGTTGCCGAGCTATCCGTGCTGCCAATTAGTCCATCCCCAGACGCCCTTCGGACATTGTTAAGTGCTAGTTATCGTCAAAATCTGCGCCTCCCCTTCTGAAAGGACGCAGAAATACTCACATAGCGGAATATTCACGGGTTTAATTAACCTTATTAATTTGTACCGCTGATAACTTAAGAGCGTGTTTTAATTCCCCAATATGATTGCGACATTTTGGTCCATGTTAGATAGGCTTTTGTTTTCGGGCGGTCTTTTCCTGGAATTATATCACTACTACTTGTTTTTCGCATACTATTGAAATTTCGTTGACGCAGATTTTCCATAAGTTGGGGGGTTACATTATTGAACGCTGGTGACAATAATTTCCTCACAGTCTGTCACTTGTGTGCTTACTTCAGCATGCCGCAGGTTGTCAAATACATGCTTTTCTCTTTAGGCCTTTGAGCAACTAGTTAAGGAACCTTCTCATGACACCGAGGTAAACCGAGTGAAGAGGGTATATATCCACTTTTCCTCTATAGAGAAAAAAGAACTTATCCTACCTGTGTTGCATGCACGCAATGACGGTACGTCAATTCGGTGACAGTCATCGGTGGTGGATTAAAAATCCTCATCCGCCCTGGCACTTTGCGACACGCAGTCATCAACTACCTTGTCCACGTACTCACCTATAACACAGCATCTCTCGCAGCCATAATAGGCATTAACGTTTTTAATTTGTTTATAGATGCTCTAGCTGGTCCATCAAAAATTGCAGTGGCCAAACGGAACTGCAGCGTTAGGTCGATTACATCAACATGCAGACCTGACGTAGTCAAAGATAATAGCTCGCCACTCACCGGTCTGCAAAGCAACTGCACATCCGAGGGTTTACCATAGCCGCAGTAAATTCATACAACAAATATTTAACTGGCAAAAGTTGCATAATTCTACCTAGGATAAACCAGGATTCGCGTTTCGTTTTTTTTACATATAGGGAGCCCATCAATAGCTAAAAATACAACTACTCCATTGCCCTTAATGCGCATGGGAGGCACGTAACTCATCAGATAACTCCTTTATAAGTTCTAGATGGACGTACTCACCACTGCCCATTGCCGTTACCGTTAACGAATTGCCTGCCACACCCAGTAGTGTTCGCCCGTCCGAAGGCAGGTCCGATGACAGTCTTCTCATAATTTTCGGAAGACTAGTCAGATGGATGAGAGGTATATGTGAGCGTACTGCCCAGGACTGAAGAGCATCTATTACGTCGGGCACCCCTACAGGAACTACAGTTGACAGGGTCCGTGTAGACTCGTCGGGCTCCGTGTTAACTGGCATATCGAGAAGCCGCGTTTCCTCGCCAGTAGAGAAAGATTCGGTTACACTGGATGAGCTATAGGACGTGAAAAAAACCCAGTGATGATGATGATGATGATGGTGATGCTGAGTGGGATAGACACACTTCCCCTATATTCTCCGCGACTTGCTTGAACTGCTTCTTAACAGCAGCATAAACACGTCTCCTAGATGTTCCCTTCAATATTTTTATCAACATTATAACAAGAAGAGAGCAAAAGGGATCACGGAACACTTCAAGTAGAAAACATCGTCAAAGCAGCAACTGTGTGCGCGCAGTAGCGTGGGCGAGCGTAAAGTGGCGTGCCCGGGACCCTGCGCAACAGCAAACGCCTCGGCCGATCGATTTGCTGATAATCATTTGCACATTTCTGCGTGCACTTAGCGACGCTCTGGGAACCAATTATCAGCAGACGTTGAATGCGGGGGCTCTAATCTGGAATCGCTTTTCCTTGTTATTGGGGTTCATGCCAGAGTTAATGAAAAAGCTAACACATCCTCATCTGTCACGCTACTGAAAACGTAATGGAGGTCGAGAAATTGAGGCCGCTCGAAAAATTATATTTAGACACCAGATATTGGCTAGTCTTCGTCAAATAAAAAACCAACAGCCAGCCATACGTGCGAAATAGGATATATCCGGCTTGCAGACATCTTAGCCAGACTCAAATGGAACAAAGAACTTACGAGGCTGCCGCCCATGTCATACTGCCACTTAACTGCAGAGAATTATCCCCGCGCGCTTATGACTTGCAAAATATCGTAAGACGGAGAACATCCCCGACTCCTATTCTGTCGGTGACACAGTGAGAGGTCTTCTCTGTGGATAATTCGATCACAAATCCCATTGTTTCAGAATGGATTAATATGTAGAGATACCTCAGTTAAGTTCTGCTTGAACGGGCACACTGGTTAAGTGGACATATTGACAAGTATGCTTAGGCGGAATAGGAAAATGACCCGACAGTCCAGTGTTTACTAAGTGCCAACGCCATAGGGGCTTCCATAGATGTAGTCACCGAGCATAAGACATGAACTGCACTGCAGTTGACTTATACGTCTCTCGCAGTCGACAATGCATCGGCAGATACAATGATGTCAGAAGCTTCCACTAAAGTAACCTTGCCGCCTGGTTGAACATTTATTCAAAAATCGATTTATCCGGTTTTCAGTATAATTAATTGCCTTATGCATAATGCAGACGCATCTTCATTTTGTTTTGCTCGTTTTATTTTGATGATTAACGAGGACAACAGCTTGAGGTTAAATTCACATCCCCGAATGAACAGCATAGGTGCTTCCTCGATTTGAATCCCGGGCATGCTGAGTGGTCAATGCCATCAAAAAGGGGCGAAATTAGAGCTAATTAACTTTCAGAAACTCTGTGCACACCAGGTTCTCGGGACAGTAGCCACAATCATCGCTCGTCCAGGCTCTCCCTCTAGCCATTTTTGATAATTTTTTAATTGACGACAAACAGGCAAGTGCTTTGCGCCGTTCATCATAGAAACTCCTGGATGACAACCAAGTACTTACTTACTTGTACTTGATACGGCTGCGATCAGGCCTGATCTAGCCGGCCTCGATGATGTACCGAACCGTACCTCTCCACGCGTGACGATCCGCGGCAGCAGATCTGGACAGCTCAACCCATTCCTTTCGCCAACGACGGAGACCGAATACCGAAGGTCCAAGAACCACCTCCATGTCTTGACGAACTGTGTCGGGTCAGGTTTTGAACTGACCCCCTCTTCGACGCCTCCAATGGGGCAACGGTGCCGGATCGAGGGCAGTAACACTGAGCTCCTGAGGTGGACGACGAAGAACATGCCCGAACCACCTCAGTCGTCTTTCTTGGATGGCCTGAGTTATCCTTGCGATGTTGTCGCAGCGAGCGCGGGCTGTCTCATTTGAGACGAAGTCGGTGAACTTCACTCGAAGGATGGTCCTCAAGCAGTGGTGGTCAAATACCTCCAGTTTTCGCTCATCCTCCACGCGCAAAGCCCAGCATTCTCAACCGTAGAGAAGGACAGACCGGACAGATGCACGGTACACGCGAATTTTAGTGGCGATGGAGAGGTCACGTCGGAGCCATAGGCATTCCCGAAGGCTATGAACTATGTCCGATCACAGTATTACGACCCATGACAACCAAGTGACTAAAAGTTGCTGTTAGGGACAACGATGGCCAGCACATACGGTCAGGAATCAATAACGTCACAAGTTCGTCTCTGGAATGGGTTTTTACATTAACCTATGGGAATATTCTACGGAACTAAGTAGCCATAGATACACCAAAGAGATTCAAATGATCTATAGCCCGGGAATTCCAGTTACATGAATACTTATAGCGGTCGGTGGAGTGGTGGCCAATATATTGAAGGCATATGCAATTTCTGCCAGCCCATTGAATCCCTGTCATGAAAGGAATAATTTTATTGCTATGCGCCTGACTACTTGTGCATTTTGAATTAGGTAATCCAGTTGGGGAATTCGAACTAGTGTGAAAGGCATCACTTTTAATTGTCGATGTTAACCTAACTCGGTGGGAACAAATTAACATGACCACCCTAGAATTGAAAGCGTGCTCCAATGCGTATTTATCGGTTTTGTAGCGGTCTGTCGGCCAAATAATCAGTCCCAGTGTTCTCTAGGATAGTTGACGGCCCCTATTAAAGTATGAAATCTTCGACTTAACCGCGAGCAGGGCCAAACCAGCTGCAGATTAATAATGCTTTCATCGAAATGCTCTGAAACACTATAACCCGGGGAATCCATTCGTAACAAACGAGGTCCCTCCTTTGCCAACTATTTGCTTATTTTCTCCTTGTCCAGGCTACTTATTTTCACGATCTGCTGTTGGTTGTACATAGTTGGCTTCCGTTTGGTACCACGGTCGCCTGGGCTACGCGGTTTATTCTGTCTGCCTCTACGGCGAGTCAGAGGCTCCGCTGTCCTCATGTGATGTTCATTTAACGTTTGAAAGTTCTGCAATGGTCGACCAACAGTCGTAGGCGTAAAACTGGGCGATTAGCAACGTGTGACTATTAATTCATTGTTCATCAGCACCTGAACCACCCAAAAGCTCATTACAGCAGGTTTTCTCGTCAAGCAATAGCTGGGCGGATGAAATCGTTAGTTCTGTTGCGACAAATGCCGTCCTACATAACTTACCTTGACACCAGAGGACAGAAAGGTTACTATATTTAATATGAGACCGCATGCCTTGCCATCTTCCCCCCCCATGCCTTGCCATCTTCCCCCCCCCCCCAGTAGAGAGCTTTACAAGTCGTATTTTAACAGACCCTGTTCCCTCGTGAAAAAAACACTGCTTGCGCGATACTGACCATTGCCTGCCAGTGCTATTTGGCACTCCACTCCACACTCTGCTTTCTCTGCCCTTTCATCCACAACTTTCGGACTTAACCATATGCACATTTATTTAAGGCCATTGGATATGATTGTCAGATTTTGGTCGTTTCAGGGCAAATATGGAACCCGTACCTTCTAACTCTGTGACAAATCCGGACTCAACCACTCTCGAAGCTCTCTTGGACGCGCCAGGGCCTCTTTCACTGTCCCAGAGTTCGTTAAGCGGTGCAAAAGCTTCGCCTGTCTGGCCCAATGGTCAGCACCAGCACTGCGACGATATTTCATCCTCACCCCTGGCTAAACGAAAGCTTTCGTCGGCGTCAGACTCCACTGTCCTGCATCATCCGCCTACCGACAGACCTCCCGTTGATATTACAGTGAAGGAGGCCTGCATGGAATTACTCTGCATTCTTATCCGTCAGGATGTCAACGGGTTGCTGCACTTTCCTCTCAAACAGGTACTCATTGCAGAGGTGGTGCCACTTCATGACTTTGGCAACTTTTTACAATAAATCTTATGTGGACAAACGCCGTCCAGTAAGCTAGCCAGGATGTCATCAAGAGAGATGGTTAGAACCTCGGGTTATATGCTCCCCATCTCTCTCTCTCTTAGATGTTGAGTCGCGACCTTCTTGGCCAGTATGTTCGGTTGCGACAAGCGACCAGATGAGATCATGTCTATTTTCTCACTTCACAATACCACGAACCCCTTCACTTCTTAGAATTTTCCAGTCGCTTGGAGGAACTTACAAAAAATCGTTTACTTTCCTCCTTATGCCATTCTGCCCAACCAACGCCCAATAACGACTCGGTACCTAATCCTGTTATAACGTGCTCACATTTTACATGAAAGTAGTTTATAATCAAGTCTGTCCTAGCGACCGCGTATTTCCTTAAACATTTATTCCTGTCTGTAACAGAAGCCCCCTTGCGGTTTTGACTTCCGTAATTGTTCCTCAGATCCGTCCGGGACTTTTCAGTGATGCATATGCATTTTAAAGTGAGTGGTTAAAAAAGAATGCACAGGCTCCGTTTCTGGCGGAAATCACGCCAAAATATGCGAACGTGAATAGTACGCTTGGTCTATTTAGTTACACGAATAAGTAGGTTGGGTTCGGACCGCGGACTTAATATGAAATAACTGCGAGGAGAAAATACCGCGAACGAATGTTGAAGGTACAAATCGTGAAAGAAATCTGTCGCATGTGCTCATAATCAGTACCTGTATTGGGGGTGCAGTCAAGCTGTTGCTACATTATATATATATCAGTAATTCTTGTTTGCGTATGTGGACAATACACGTTTATTACGCTGAAATTGGCTGTGTTCAGATCAAATATTCGTATGAATTGAGCGAAATTTAGAAATCTGTACCTGGGAGACTTTACCCCAGCTTCAAATTTCGCTTTCAAATACCACTGGGGAGGGAGGTCGAATTCGTCATCGCGCCGTCCTAGGCACTTCCCAAGCAAGGAGTTAATCCCTCTTGACATTTGATTTCCGTCCGAAAGAAATCCTTACCTAATATACTTTTAGGACATTGGCCTTGCTTATGATCTGCCATCCACGGTCTCTATAAACCTGCCCGCGAATTATTTATTTCGCCTGATTTGAAAGACAATAACTTGGAGTAAAAATTTGACTTTTTACCCTGAAAACGTACATTTTTAATTAATACAGGTGGATGGTTTCCAGAACTCCCTTCGTGGTCTTGAGCGCCTAGTCCTCACTGACAAGATCTGTTCCCTCGATGACTTTCGTCAACGCGTGAAGTCCATTTTCTCCACAGCCCGCGACTACTATCCCGCCACTATGCCGGCTGGCTCCGAAGTTGCCCGGCTCTCGAGCCTGGCCAGTCAGTGGTTTTCCAGCCTCGCTGGTCATCCTATCTGGTCAGTGCGTTCACAGTCGTCCTCCACTCCCACTTGTGACAATACAACGACTCCGGCTTCTGAAGATGCCCCGTGCGCAGTATCCCTCAGATTACTAAATCCCGACAACCGCGGCATCGTCAGCCCCACCAAACGCATACGCACAATTGGCCAGGAGGTTGGTTTAGAAAGCTGTTGATGCCGCCTTATTTTCCTTCTGTGTCTGTTCTCCATCGACTAAGCAGGGTGCTGTTATCAGACCCAAACCGCGGCAGCGTTATATCGTCCGAACGACGTCTGATTCGCGTCGGCTGAACAACTGGCGGGTTTGTAGAGCGCAGTGCTGCCTAAAACGGGCCACGCGGTAGTTGTGCTAGCTCAACGCGACGTACAGATCAGGGACGGCACACGTTGTTTGGGCTACGCACCCATGACAAATGACACACATGAAGGTGTGGTGGCACACCTAGGCGCAGGCCCACGCCGCGCCATCCGTCTGCGCTTAATCTCCTCATCGGATGGCTGACCGACTCGGACAGTGGACTAACGCCTCTGAGAGGGAAGAGATAGTAAGGTCGACTCTGGCCGAACGCGTCCCCACGGCACTCATAGCCAAACCCTCGCTATGACGCGCTTTTAAGCTATCTCAGTGCGCAAAAAGTCGTGGCTTAGAAGGTTGCCAACTGGCAGTAAAACTCGGTTCCCATCTCACGACGGGGAGTCAGGCTACAGTGGCTCCTACAACACTTTCACTCAGTGGAGATCCCCTAGTTATTTTGGTGAGAACTCAGTCCGTCGTGCGCGGAGCAGACGTGTGTGGCACGCGTTAACGGGCTGTTTAGGTTTGTCATTCACTGCTATCCGGTCTTCGTGTCTCAGATCAGATGAGTGAGGACAAGAGAGTGTGGCAGAGGTGCAAGTGCACGCTAACTGTAAACTAGCTCACCGGCAAGTCACCCTGCACCGGGGCGCTCGGTGGACATCGTCGTACGCGACGGTCGAACTGTCGTGTAGAGCGAGAGGGAGAATCCGAAACGCCTGACAATAGTCACTGCACTCGAAATCCCCCCCGGACGCCTTGAATCACGCTAGAACTAACACCTCCTCTCACTACTTATCATTGGGAAGTTTGTCTATGCTGTAGCTTTGTTTTAAGAGCTGACCTGTCGGATAATTTGGTTTTTGAGACCGAGAGCCTTTCAAACGTGTAACAGCGGAGAGACGGAGTGAATGCCTGCTGAATCACTGTGCCCGGTCAAGTCTTGCCATTGGGGTACGACGATGCCTCTGTTCGGTGATAGCATGGATCCGACTGACGAAGGACCCTATGATTCCTTGGAGCAGTCTGTCTGTTCGGCTGGGGAAGGGGGGGGATTCTCACAACACTTCTAGACATGACCAGCCCCTAAACTCAGTTGAGCCCACTTAGTATTCCCATGCTAAGTTCTATTTAACTGTACTATCTCCCGCTTGCACTTTTCTTCCATTCGTGATCACCCAGAGTTGCAAAACGGCTGTAAAACAGTCTCCTGGCGGTCTATAACTATGCTGACGATATCCAGCAAAATGTTGGGTGTAAAGGCCCCTTCGAATCCTGCGACACTAAAAAGAACACTAGAATGGGTGCAAACAGTCTACATATTCAAGGAAGTCGGATCCCCATTGTTGCATCTTGAATTCCTGATGAGAAGCAAGGAGATTCAGGGATTTTGATACACAGAAAATTGACTGAAGATATGGAAGCATCCTAATCGTCGCGTACGACGGAATTTGCTGTCATCATATCCTAATTGAATGGATGTATCTCATCCCGAGGGACTAGACTTATAAACCATCAGACCGATGCAAAAGGGCCGCCAAGTTGGGGGGTAGGAAGAGAATAAGACCATTTGCAGAGTACGGACACCTATGGATACGTTTAGGCATGGGGCAGCGTTTTATGACAGGCTTGGAGAAATGAAAGCGGGGATTACAAAATGTCGAAGTTAAAGCCCAAGTGGTGCAGGACTGCTAACAGCGTCGAGCAGGGGAGTTAAGTCAAAGATTAGGGCGAAACGATGAAGGTAACAGAAGGCAGAACTGTATGCTGGATGTTCTACCAATTCTTGGAACTCCAGGCGGTGTGCTTGAGTGGTGGACGGAGACATGCGCCTTCGAATCCAGGAACCACCCCGATGGGGTAAAGTTGTTTTCACCGAAGTTGCAACCTCCTCCTGTGTGAATTCCTTTAAGTGTAGACTTTACGCGCATCAAGCCTCCCAGTTACCAGCCTTACATTCACTCACACAACCGGCACCAACTTAAGCTTGTTTATACTACTTGTAACTAGTTAGTAGCCGTTATTGATTACTCTTTTTTGACTAGCTGCCAGCGATTATGTACAAAACCCCTTTTTTCACCTTCCCACTATCAATGTTTTTCTCCGACGACTTGTAACCAATAGGGAGTTCAAAGGCGCTCGCCTATATTTCCCTTAATAAACTGAAACTGAAATCACCAGCAAGTAAGCACTCCCCTTGGGGGATAGGAACGTAGACGTTCTTTCAAGTTAGGGCAGCTTTACGAAGTCCGTCTGACATCTTTTTGGTCGTCATATAGGTTGGCCCTTTGGCCGAAGGCACACACCTCTCCCAATTCGGCGGTTACCGGGAAGATCGACGCAACAAGGTGATTCCCTACACATACCTCAACTACGGCCCCTACGCCTCATTCGGACCCACCTATGACAGCGGAACCTCCAACTGCACCCCAGAGTCCAACCAACTGCTGCTGGGCACTTCCTGGCTGCCAGCACGACTGGCCTATCTGGACTGCGACGAGGAGGCGGAGGTGAAGACGACATCCGGGGCGGCTGAGGATGGGCCAAAGAGGACGACTGAGGACGATACCTCATATCTTGGCCGCCTGACCAGGGCGGCAGAGAAATTGGGTGACACTGAACTGGCGGCTGCCCTTGCCGACAGCGAGGCCGAGTGGCGACAAGGCCTACAACTGGCCGAGGAGCTGGACGCTATCATTCCACCGGTTGGCTTCGGTGACGACTTCAGCCTCTACCTTGCCAATACCCTGACGCGTAACATGCCGCCTCCGCCTGCATCGACTACCGAATATGAGGACAGTGATGATAATGATGAGGCTACTGACAGCAAAGTGGATGAATCGGACGCGATCGTGGTGTCTTCGGGGCCTGAAGAGAAGATTGCGCCATCATCGGATGTTCCCGCAGGTAGGCGTCCGCACTTATTGGTCTTTTTAGTAAATGCACCGTCTGTCCGACGAAAGGAAAATTGGCCTGTCGCTTGCTCGCACACATCAGCCGTTCTACATCTCTGGGGAAATCATACAGGGACCTAAATAACTTGTTAATCACCTCGGGCAATTCGGTCTTTTTATGTTGAATAAGTCCATCCAGGCGAAATGCGTTTTCAGTTGTTCGCCATCAGGCTTGTTAACAAATACAATAGAAGGGATCTCATGAAATATGGTCTCGATTGGAAAGGATTATTTGGGTGCGGTTGTAATATTGGTTATAATGCAGTGTAATTTTAAGATGACGGTGTTTGTATACTCGTCTTTCCGGCCGCCTGCAAAATGTCGCATTCGTAAAAAATGTCTACTTAAGTAGCATGGCCTCTCTCGTTGATTTTAGATGTCGTTATAAATCCAAACACATTTAATAGAAAGCAACCACGAACATATCCTTTCACGTGCACATGTTTATAGTGAATTGTGTCTTCTGCAGAGTTCATAATCGAAGGAATATCTTTCAGCCCACAGAAACCGCGGGGGGGGGGACCCAATGAATGAGACTTTGTAGGCTCAGTCCGAAAGTGGATGTGAATATTTGAGTCGAAATCCATCGGCCTTAACGGGATAACCGCTGATGCGAACCCCTCGCAGCTGTGTCCTGCAGCAACAGAATATCAGTGAAACACGTGTCTGGGCTTTCAGTTGGTACCTTTGCTGTCAGTTCGGTAAATCATGTAACATGTGTATACTACTGGCTGCCTGTTGACAGTTTATGGATACTACACGGTTATCCCACTGCGAAACTGATGGATGTCGACGCAAATATTCATATTGCATGTGCAAGTCACTGTCCCTGCGCCCACCCTGCTCTGGGGCATACGGTGGACACCGTCGGAACGGACGATGATGAATACGCTGATTTGCCGTGGGGGTGTACTATTTGGTTCTGGCCTCACCCACTCTTCCATCCCCTATGCCCCAGTCGACTGTCAGGGCCTGTCAAGTTGTGTGTTGGCTTAAGTTACATGATCTTGGAGTTTCCGCTTGGCTAAAACGTAAGGAGTAGGTCGACGAATGGTATGGAGGCGAAATCCTCGCCTGCTTGGATTCTGCGAGCTGTACAGGATAATAGCTTCCCACGCGAAACTACAACCTGCTTGTTATACTAGACACCTCCCGTGATGTTAGAAACAAGTGCAACATCCACGCCACGGTAGTATTTTCACAAATCATCGAGTAGTCTATGGTGAATCTTTGGAGACTGGGATTTACGGTAGTTGACCAATGCCCTGCATTGGTCAGCTACCGTAAATCCTAAGCGGGTTTAAACCGAGCAAGCGAAGTCTATTTGTACCCCTAAAGTACTGCCAATAAACCACTTTTCATAGACTTCGTCGTCCCTTCTGATTTTGAATTACCATTTGTCCCCATGGAAATCAACCATAACCGTCTTGCTTACAATCATTTCAGATGTTGACATCACGCCATATTGCCCGCGGGATTGATAGAACTCCACTATTCTAGTGGCAGTATATGCATGCATCCCGCACATATTTCTTACATTTTGCGGTTTTTAAAATCTAGAACCCGCACCTGAGAAAGTGAATGCTGAAGAGTCGGCGTCCGTCACCCGGGAACTTACAACAACCAGTGAACTGCTGTCCGAGTCAGCCCGTAAACTCCGTCGCCTGTATAACGCGCAGTATCGGCGACTGGGCGATTACTCATCCCAGTCGCTCAGTGAGGAGTGCTCTCTACGACCGAGCCAAGTGGAGCTACAGTCTGCGTACAGTCTGGTTAACGATCTTGTCAGCTTGGTAGCTACAGTTCCGCCTGGGGCTGTGGTTTCGCGGCAGGCCATTCGTCGTCAGCTGGGTGTTTGCGACCTGCCTCTTATAGACCCCGATTTGCTGAATTCCGACGAGACAGTGCCCACCAGCTAACTCTTTTAAATGTACACATATACATGTCTAAATACTTACAGGCGGTATCTTTCTTTATGTTTGTCCATAATAGTTGCCGTTTCCCCTGACTTCATGTCTATCCTTTTGCATATTCTGTGCATCAAATTACACAATCTGCAATCCGTTTATCCCTCTTCTCAGAGTTGCGCGCATAATTCGATACTATGCGCACTGATCAGTTGATAAGCGACGGCATTCATACTCTTCCAAAGTAGTAATGGCCAACCGATCTGGTGAAGACAGCCGCTCGGGTTACCTCCAACTAGCAGACCCCTCCTACGAACGCATCTTGTCATCAGGACGAGTCCGCGGAAGACACAAAGACAATGTAGTTTGCCACACAAGCTTATACAAAGAGCGTGTAAAGCCACTAGGTAAAAAAATATGAATGCTCTGACAGTCTGGTGGGCTGTACGTTGACCAATCGACGGGGGAAGCACCTAGAGTTGGACGACCTCGCCCTCTGCGCTGATTGGTTGCTGTCTCGTTGGCTCTAATTGGGGCTCCACAGTCAGCAGGGCATCGTCTGTGACATCCGGGTTGGAGCGGTCATCAACGGTCACAGGAGGCGAGCCGTGGGAGAGCACCAGGCGAGCGTAGCTTCCGTTGCCCGCCGTGCGAGAGACGAAACCAGGATTCACGCACACGACTCCCTCGACATTCTACAAACATGAGCATCACAGAGTTGCCCAATGAGCTAGCCACAGTAAAGTAGCAGATTAAAGGACATGAGCGGAGGAAGCATAGTTGGAAAATGATGCATCGGTAAAATCAGTGAAAATGGTTACCATGGGCCCGGGCGGGGTTCGGTGCCGACAGTGATGTGGTCTGCCACGTCTTTACCATGCAGCCTTGAACGCCTGAATATGAGAATAACTGTCTAGTGGACAGTGAAACTGACCTGTTAGGCAAACTATGCCAAATGGTCAATTTCCAAACGGCAGTGACTAAGTCATCCCTTATAACGTAATCCCGCTTGTTGAGGCGTTTGCTGACCGCCCTTCCGAGGAACATGCCAGGAGATTTATCGGACGGAGGGTACTGCGTCAGGTGTTGCGCAGACGCACTTCATGACACCCCGCCACCTCGTCTCTGTATTTACACGAGCACTGACTGATGATACTAATATTAATAATGAGTGGAGGTCCTATTCGAGGGAGAAGGCAACTCGTCAGATGACGAAACTCGCGGAACCAATGCGACTTTGGATATTCACACTCACCACCGATGAAGCGCGATACCGTGAATTAATTGATAGCATTAAGCTTAATGGCCAACTGAACTCGGGTCGAAAGTCCCCATCTTCTTGGCTGCGACTGATCCACGAAGGCAAAAAGTGCAACCAGTTGCTTCAGTCACATCCTTGTTGATAGGAGACCCGTTCTTCGGGGCAGTTGGAAGACTGAATCATGTCGACCTACGCACCTATCGGCATGCTGGTCTTGCACAGGCGACTTCTTTAAACCACCTAAATGGTTCATATTATTTCTGGTGTTTTACAAAGCCCATACAGGGTGATTATAAAGTCCGCGTGAAATCGAAAATCTAGAATGCAGAAATCGGTACACTGGGGACGACTCGAAAGGTGAGTTCTTAGAATCCCGTGCACTGTTGCATGCAGAGTGCCCAGTCTTGTCGATCCGTATCGAGTCGACCTGTACGGCTTCATTTCATAGTCTTCCTGCATTACGGCAGTAACGACTGCCCATTCGTGACCCCCGCGACCGTGACTCAGGTTCTCAATCAATTAGAAGATCACATTGTGGACTTAGTTCCTAAATGACGGGAAGACGGGTTGCCCGTTAGCCTAGCTGCCGGCTACCCGGCGCGTCCACAGGTGGCGGATAGTGGGACGACCTTCAGTGAAGGTTAACTGCGAAATAAGCAGACCCAGGTCTGACGAATAAGCCGTCGCGGACCAGCAGCGACATTGCTACCAGGGTGCGGTGGGCTGAAGTCTGGCACGCTGAAAGCCTTATAAAATGCCGCAAAGCCCAATGACGGCATTGTGACATGGCGACCGTAAACCGCCATTAAATAAGTTTACTTGCCACCGCTGCCTTGTGGTTAGGTTTTTTAAAGCCAAAGCGCTAGAGGAGACAACCTCGAACAAACAATCCGAGCGGCTGTTGGGGACCCGCCCGTATTCGAAATTCCCAAGAAACCTCATGAAACATGTCCGATCACAGTACTACCACCCATGCTACGGCGTCCGCGGGGACCGACGCGCTCCGCAACCCTGATCCAGTGGCGCGGGCGAATAGTATGCGAGCTGGACTACTCAATCGTGGACGGACACTCGGTATTGGATGCTGGAATGTACGAACGTTCCTGGACCCTGGCACCCAAAGTCTGACCGCACGCAGCCTTCATCAGTACAACGTGGATGTCTGTTGTCTGTCTAAAGTACGACTCCCTGACTCAGGCTCCCGTGAAATAAAGATCCCGGGAGTCGAATCCCACTTCACCCTGTACCACAGCGGCCCTCGCGATTCCTCTGGTCGACACGGTGTGGCTATCGCCCTATCACAACAAGCGGACCTTCCGCTACTTGCTTGGGCACCAGTAAATGACCGGATGGCCTACGTGCGACTGAAGGGTCACTTCACGAACATCTCCATCGTCGCTGTGTACGCACCAACTTCGGCAGCCGAACAGCGCGATAAAGAGGCGTTTTACTTTCAGTTGCAAGCGCTAGTTGAAAGACTGCCTCGCCGCGATCTGCTGATTGTTGCTGGCGATTGGAATGGTCGAAGTGGACCTAGCGACCCCACAACCAGTCATCTTCTTGGCCGCTTTGGGCTTGGTTCCCGATGTGAAAATGGTGAGAGATTGCTGAACTTCGCTGATCGAAACCTACTGCTTGTCACCAACACATGCTTCCAGCATCGCAAAAACATCTGCTGACCTGGTATTCAAACGACGGTCGTACGGCCAGTCAGATTGACTACATACTAGTCAGCTCAAGGTTCCGCAGCTGGGTTCACGATAGCAGATGGATGCGTGGTGCCGAGACTGGTAACGCCCATGGGTCGGACCATGTCCTCGTCCGTACACGCCTGAAAGTTCATCTCTCATCCGCACCAAAAATGCCACGTCCTAGATGCCGCAATGTCGCAAAAATCCGGCAAGCCAGCACTGCCGAGGCCCTAAACAGAGAAATTCGAACCTGTTTTACGGCCCGAGCCGACGGAGAAGTCAGTAACCAGTGGTCGTCACTGAAGACTTCAGTCTATGGGGCAGCTGAGAAAATCCTTGGATACACCCAGCGATGCCGCAGTGACTGGATCAGCGGAAGAACCCTGCAGTTGTCTGCTCAGACGGATCGAGCCAGGTCCCGTAACGATGACTACTTCCGCCAACTTCGGAAGATGACGGCAAAATCGGCCAGGGATGACCGGAAACAATATTGGGCTGAAATAGCGACATCCATGGAACAGGCTTCGAACGTTGGTGACACTCGAAAGCTCTACCGTCTGATCCGCCAAGTTAGCGGTAAGCCCTCTACACTGAGTGACTCTGTTCGCGATGTGAACGGCGGCTTTATTGCTGACAACTCGGCCAAAGTCGAGCGCTGGCGTGAGCACTTTGAGCACCATCTCAACTTCGATACCCAACCTACATCGTCCTTGTTCTCCTCCTCAGCGGAGTTTCTTCCCTCTCCTACATATGCAGTACCATGCGATCCCCCCTCCGAGGAAGAAGTCGCCGATGCCATACGAAAGTAGCTCAACAATAAGGCACCCGGAAAAGACGGTATACGGGTTGAAAGCTTCAAGTCTTGTGTCGACACTCTGGCGCCCTGGCTCCATGAGGTGGTTGAACGAGCGTGGAGAGACGAGGTTGTTCCTGATGACTGGGGCTTAGGCATCCTTGTACCTATCCTCAAGAAGGGAGATAAGACGAGATGCGAGAACTACCGCGGCATAAGTCTCATCGACGTTGCTGCGAAGATCTTCGCTATTGTCCTACTCAGGCGATTCAAGTCTGTGCGTGACGCAAGGACGAGGCCCAACCAAGCCGGATTTCGTGCTGGACGTGGATGCGCAGATCAGATATTCACACCGAGGCGCATTCTCGAATTTCGCCATTGCTACCAACAACCGACGGCCGTCTGCTTCGTTGACTTTGCCGCCGCGTTCGATTCCGTTCACCGTGAGTCCCTGTGGCGGATAATGGCGCTAGATGGTGTACCGGCAAAAATAATCGCCATGATCAAGGCCTACTATTGTTCCACTACTGCGAGAGTCCTGGTCCGTAACAATTCTTCTCAACCGTTCGGTATTCGGTCTGGCGTTCGACAGGGTTGTATCCTGTTACCCATTCTGTTCAACTACGCTATTGACTGGATCCTCGGGAGGGCCCTACGCGACAGTGACGGCGTTGAATTTGCACCCGAACATCGACTGACTGATCTCGACTATGCCGATGACATCGCCTTACTTGCTTCAAGTTTTGGTGATCTGCAGTCTACGGTGTCACGGGTGAACGAGGTCGCTAAATCGGTCGGTTTGTCCATAAACGCTGGGAAGACCAAAGTGTTTTCAGGCTGCATCCCTGACCAGGAGAAGGCACCCCTGGGGATTGATGGCTGTCAACTTGAAGAAGTGGACAGTCTTAAATACCTCGGGGCGCGGTTGCTGCCTAATGGACAGAGTAAGGACGACATTGTCTCGCGAATCGATGCTGCCCGCTGGGTTTTTTCATGCCTTCGGAAATGCCTGTGGAACCGAAGTGACCTCTCCATTTCCACTAAGATTCGCGTGTACCGTGCATATGTCCGGTCTGTCCTTCTCTACGGTTGCGAATGCTGGGCTTTGCGCGTGGAGGATGAGCGAAAACTGGAGGTATTTGACCACCACTGCTTGAGGATCATCCTTCGAGTGAAGTTAACCGACTTCGTCTCAAATGAGATAGTCCGCGCTCGCTGCGACAACATCGCGAGGATAACTCAGGCCATCCAAGAAAGACGACTGAGGTGGTTCGGGCATGTTCTTCGTCGTCCACCTCAGGAGCTCAGTGTTACTGCCCTCGATCCGGCACCGTTGCCCCATTGGAGGCGTCGAAGAGGGGGTCAGTTCAAAACCTGGCTCGACACTGTCCGTCAAGACATGGTGGTTCTTGGACCTTCGGTATTCGGTCTCCGTCGTTGGCGAAGGGAATGGGTTGAGCTGTCTAGATCTGCTGCCGCGGATCGTCACGCGTGGAGAGGTACAATTCGGGACATCATCGAGGCCGGCTAGATCAGGCATGATCGCAGCCGTATCAAGTACAAGTACCTCTCTTGCAGCTAGCAGCGAAGCTCCTCACGGTAGTTGTGAACTCCAATCACGTGAATCCTAACACACATGTAACAGTTTGAAGATAAACGCAGCTTATCCTCGTCAAATCTACTGCATTAATAAACAATTGGGTTTTGCACAATACAACCTCTACTTCATTCTGTTCTCGCACTCACGTCATGTACCAACAGAAAGACAAGGTAAGACGACTGGAGGAGGTTGGCGTAGTCACTGGTCGACGATGACGAATTTTCGCCTACGCGTACCACACAGGTCCCCCCGCCCCAAACGCCGTACGAACTGGGCTCCAGGAAGGGTCACCGAGATCACACTGGCGCGAGGGCCTTTTGGGTAACATCAAAAATGGAGCATTTGCAACTTGACGACCCTCAACCAGGAGTGGGAGTGAGCCTTCCTACCAGTTGGCGCCCATCTAATCCACGATTAGTAGCGCATCGTGATAAAGTCAAGATGCGTTATCTTGTCTACAGTGAATCCTGGCTCCGAGTAGGGTCGAACGTTCTTCTTGCAGGGACCAGTGGCAGGTCTGAACCTGACTGACTGGATACGAGACCGGACGTAGTGGGTGACGTGATGTGAGGCCGCCTTCTACGGGCGCAAAAAGGTGCCAGTGTTAATATCCAACAAACTGGCGGACTTTGGATTTAGTATACCGGTTGCAGTGCGCTGAAAACCTGCGCAAACAAACTTCGCAGCCTGACCCTACTTCTCGCGGAGGGAGCCGAGAAAAATTCTCATTGTTGTAGGAACCGAAGTTTTTGTGGACGAGGTTAGAAATTATTTTATGCATCCATCAGAAGGATCAAACTTAAAACAGCACGGTTAAGTACGCATGCTTTTCTCTCCCTCTTACCGAGAATCTGAGTTGTGGTCAGGGAACGAGGGCAGGATAAATCCGAAACGATGCGTAGGACTCTACCTACATCTGAATCGTGTCAGAGAATGCCATTTTTTATGTTGGTTTGCAGGATACTCCATATTCGAGCCGGTATGCCATGTGTTGTGGAGTGCCCTCCCATAGCCCTGCCGAAGTACTTTGGAAAACCACTGAATTATTTGGTGCGCCTTAGCAGTATGCAACTACATGTGGCGTTTTGGCGAGCCCAAACATCATTGGTTTCAAATATCAAGTGTTCAATAAGACCTCGAAAACATGTGCGAACGAGAACATGTTTCGACCCATGGGTGCTGCCATTTCTGGCACTACGTACTGACTTGTTATCATGAACCCAGCTGCGGAACCTTGAACTGATTAGAACGTAGTCCATCTGACTGGCCGCATGGCCGTCGTTTGAATACCAGGCCAGCAGATGTGGCAATGCTGGGGGCACGTATTGGTGAAAACGTCATTCAATACAAAATAATAACAGGAAGGGGTGATTTTGTGCTGGCACTCTAATAATGTGTTTGGTTTATGTGAGCAACAGCGGAAGAAGTCGTACTACTTCAGCAGTCATTCTTTGCAAATTTGACTCGCACGCGGCCGTACAGACGCGCCTTCAAAGGCTGGCATCCCGGCGTGGCTGAGTTATCTTGAGACTATGCTGCCTTGTCATTAATATTATAACCTCATCTAAGTAGTCCCTTCTGACCGAATTTCAGCCACATACCAATCGGTTTTTAGCAGATTTGAATAATCCATTTGACCTAACTGTGAAAAACTTGGCGGCTTCGATGGGATCCGAACCCACGATGGCAAGGGCAAAGCTTGAGTACAGTCAACACTCTAACCAGCTGCACTACGAGGCCCCGGCGGGAGCCGTGAATTTAATCACATTTGGGTCAAGTTACCTGCTCAGCCTACTGCAACGCATGAACTCCACCAAATCTGACACAGAAAGCTGGCTGCCCTAACAGGATCACCTAAGTAATTCATATAGGATCCACCAGAATAAATATCAGGCCCGACTAATTTGTCTTTTTTGGCAGATTTTGATGATTTATTCTGACTCAAATGTGAAAAACTTGGCCGTCTCGATTGGATTCGAGTCCATGACAGCAGGGGCAAGGTTTGAGTACAGCCAACGCCCTAACCATCCGAGCTACGAGGCTTCACCAGGAGCCTTGAATTTAATCACGTTTGGGTTAATTTACCCGTCCAGCCTAAAAACACCAATTACGCAACTGAGCCTGGTAGTCATCCTGGCGTATTCTAAATTTATTGCTTGGACGGTAAGCTTACTGCGTCATATTTGGTGATTCTATTCGTTGCAATAGGCTGGGAGGGCAAATTGACCCAGATATGATTAAATTCACGGCTCTTGGTCGGAGTCTCGTAGGCCAGGTGGCTAGAGGGTTGGCTGCATTCAAGCCTTGCCCTTGCTGTCGTGGGTTCGGATCCCACCGAGTTTATCACAGTTGGGTCAAAGGAAGCCGCATATTGCACGGCCGTATAAAAAAGTGGGCTACCTTTATGAAGGGACGTAGACGAGAGGGCAGGATCAGGCAGTGAGGTGAGAAGGAGAAGAGGGCGTGATCCTGCCAGAGGAGATAGTCCAGAGGTAGATCCTCAGCCGGAGGGTGCACCGGATAGAAGGAGCCGGAGGTGAGTATGTGTCGACAGAGGCGAGCCAACCGGTCACCGGAGCAGCTGTTGGAATAAAGAAAGGTCCACTGTCATCATAGAAAACACAGCCGTAGTCGACATGTCCAGGAACGCCGCTGGTAAGTAGTGTAAAAGAATAAAAAACGATTAGAAACGGCGGGACGGGGTAGCCTTGTGGAAGGTTGTCAGCGGACGTCGACATTATTGGGTATGCTCGAGAGTCAGACTGCGTGAGTAATCAAGCGTCCTTCAGAGGAGGAATCAATGAGAACGTACACAAGGTTAATATTGGCAAGTCGGAACGAACAGCGCATGTACACATAGTTATGTCGCAAGTGGCCCACTGCTCTGTAGTCTATCTGCAACCAATGGAGAGTCTGGTGTGGGGGTCCTTAAGCGAAATGTCACCTCAAATTTCTGTGAATATTAGCGCCCAAATTGAAGAGGCTCCGTTCCGCCTGGACGCAAAAGCAGTCGAAAGCAAACACCTACCTACCGCCCTGCCTATATTCCCAGCTCGAGAAGCGCCTCAGCTGGGTGTTAGGGTGACCGGTCAAGGCTGAAATATCAATATCTGTCTTCTTCACTGAACAATTTAATAGTCTTGTTCCTCAAAGTTCGAACGAGTGGGAAGACAAAAAAGCTTACAACCGAGCCGGGCAACACGACCATCTCACCAGATGGCACTTAGTAATGGCATTTAAAAGAGGAAATTCAGGTTCTACCTAGGATCGAGGATAAGAGACAAAAGGTGACACATTCGCCATGAAAAAACGGTCAACATTGAATCTATCAACATTCGACATACTGGGCGCTGATTTCCTCCGAACTCATTTGGAAGAGGACGTCAGGAGAGGTGATTCCAAGGACAAAGGGTCCAATGCGCAACATGCAGGGGTCCCACACGAACAGCACATTTTTGTACCACGAAGTCTAAACACGCGAAGTGCAAAAACAAGCCAGTTTAGAAGCTGTGCGGCAGGGCCAAAGTAAGGCCGACAGACAGTTGTGGTAGGGTGGACCTACCAGTTCGGGGGTCTGGCGTGTCCACGTAATCGAGGGCGGCGGTGTCGGATAGACCGGATCTCCGTGGGCCTCCCGCCAGGAGGAGACAACAACTAGCTGGATACCAAGCAGACAACACCACTCGGCTACCGTGTTTAAACGAGACTGGTAGAGCTCCTCGTAGGTGGTTTCAGCGTACTCCTGAAATGAGTTGCAAAACTGGGCTGACTTGAATGACTAACAATGGGACAGGATGCAAGGAAGACCGGACTAGAGGGACGCATCCTCACCGCCACCACCACTTTATACTGGATCGCCTCTTGGCTTGATCGACTAATGCTTCTGACACGGTTAGAAAAGGAATTGCCCTTCATTTGTGAATGGTTGAATTTACACTGGATTTGAATATACCGGGCTTCACAGGGGGAAAGATAAGACGACGCTCACCACTGATGTGTAGTGCCCTCTCCGTAAGCTTGGCTGTATTCTCCCTACTTCCTCTGTCTTTGTACATTTCTAAAACTTGGGGTTGCACGGTCTCCAGCATGGATTACACCAAGGGCATTGTTTCCTGGTTAAACATGCAACCTGTACCAAATTCTACCTGTCCATTTGAGCCGAAAGAATGTCACTCTACCATTTAATACAGTGATGCAGCGATTCATCGAGTTCCGCAACCGTGAATGATGGCACTCTTAGACAAGCCAGTGGCGGCGCCATTGGCTGAGGCTTTTATACACGATTTTGCATATCGAAAACCTTGAGGGTACAAGAAACAAATTGAGAAGCAAGAGCTGACGACGACGCAATGTAAGTCCAGTTGAAAATTCCGAGTGGTCTATATTTTTGTTACATACGTAGAAAATTTTTACATTCCGGCCAGAAAGGACTCTCAAGCAAAGCATTCTGTAAAGCAATGCCCTTACGAACTAAAACAGCAATGGGGGTTCGGTTCTAAAAGGTGGAAGGCATATATAGTCCGCATGCTTAAGAATGTTAGCAATAACCAACAAATGACTGCGTTGGTGGGTGGGTTACAGCGCCGTTCCGTAGATGGGGTGGGAAGATGGAGGAACTTTCTTAATTAAGCACAAAAAGTGACGACTAGGCGCTAAGTAGAGTAGAAGTTACTACCGGTCGGCGTTTACACATCCTTAATACACCCAAGAAGCTGACCCATATGATGATGGATGCAGGATAGAGATTAGCGCGGTGAGTAGACCAATTAAAGGCGGGGTATAGACAAAAACATGGGGACAGAAGTGTTTGACTCATTCTTGTCATTAGCAGAAAGACTCTGAAATATGAACCTTAGTCAGTACCCTTCAGGTGAACCGAAGTACCAGGTTCTACAACTGCGACACTAACTGACAGACAGAATGGTGACATCTGGCGTCTGGGATAAACGATCTACCGGGCCAAAGTTGTTCACATTCTCTGTGAGCCGTTCAAGATCGCGGGCTTTGCAGTCCGACCAACTACAACACGCGTGCACACATTCAGCTAGCCGTCCACGGCCCACTTGAATACAACACACTTAAACCTGCTTATGCAAACCCGTCACATCAGCCATAATCACAGACACACTCTCCCAAGCACGCCATCAGCAGAGGCCTTGGCCTTGAAAGTGGTCGTAGCAACTAGAGGCGGCAACTCCGAGTTCTGTACACAATAGATCCCTTCTTCAAGTGTCTTTCTTAATAATGGTGGCACTCAAGGCGCACCAACGACTTTGCCCTGTACGGCGTCAATAACACATTAAGCACGCAGTCTGACAAAAGAATAAAGCAAATAATAGGCCTACCATAATCAGTCATGTAAAATACCACTGGGGAAGATCGGCATCAAAGGAAGTTTTAAAGACACAGAACCACTGTATCAATAAAAAAGCCGGCGATGACGGCAGCGAACCTACATTTTGAAGGAACCCGTCCGAGTATTAGTATATATGCTACATACTAGGGAAGTTTCACAACTGAAGACAACTTTTAGAAGACACATAAATAAGTATTCAAGGGCAAATAAACGCACAGCAAGGCCAGGGTGTGCAGAGTCGACAAGGGGACCTATCAGGATGAGCACACTCGGTCGATTTGCCTTTATATCGTGCAAGAGGGCCAACAGAGGAGTGTGTTCATGGGAGGAGTTGGTAGTGAAAGGCCCACAGGCAATCGACACGTGAAGATCATGACCTAGAAAAAAAGGAAAATTATTAAGTATGACAGGAAACCTAGTTCCTAGACCTTTATAATTTTGAATGGTTAGGTATGGACTCACCAAAGGCAGTCTGGTCGCAACTCGCAAAGGGAAGGAACGGGGCCTATAGAGAAAGAAATGGAGGGGATCAAGAAGAGCGGAGCACTTTTAGGAGCCTGTCTCACCGGAAAAACACCGTAAATTAATGCGCTTACCAGAGAGACATCAAAGACTGTGAGCGATCGACCAGTGGGATTAGTAGCCCTGAGAACAACCGGCTGTCCAGGGTATAACGAGTAACTGGTCAAGTTGACCGACGAACTCAGTTCGAGCATGGCACTGGAAAACTCACCGCCACCGGCTCTTCTGGCACCGATCAAGCAGGCATTGCTAGGGTGCAACCGTATAGACGAGGGCTGTGCATCACCCATGCTCGAGGTCGGGCAAGCGGCTACTCGACCGGCAACGAAACTTGGCGCCTGCAGACGTGCGTTTGCAGGACGCAGCATTTGTTTGATAGTCTTCGATGAGGAAGGGCCATTCGGACCGTCGTCCGAGCACTGCTGACTACTGCAGAAAAAACAGACATTCGCAGGGCTGGAACACGTCTTGTGTTATAAATGACGTAGGATGCTAAACAACAAACATGCTCACAAGTTAGCAATGGCCGAATGCGCCCTCCACATACTGACAGGGTTTCATAAGTGCTGCTTATATGCTTAATCGTGGCGAAGCAATAACAAGTCACCCCAAAAATTATTGGACTTACAAACAGATGAATAAACAAAAGGTTACCAGTCAGCCTTCTTCGTAAAACTTACGTCATAGAGACATCCTCGGACTCGACGCTCTGCGAAGCATTAGGAGTGGTTGAATCGGATGTGATGCCCGCCAGAATACGTTTAATTTGTTTCCAAGACCATGTGTCCAGTACTGAAGAAGACAGGGCCGATTCAGCAGACCAAAAAATCAAAATAAATGAACACAGGACGAAAGAAAGAGAAACTACCTTCAGATTTGGCCAAAGGTCGTTGGTACATGAAACGATCGACAAGAGCTGAGTTCGATGTGGATCTGACTTCCTCCAAATTCCAAACGTAGTCGTTTCGGACCGCGGACTCGATACGACAGGACTCATAATCGTGTGTTTGGGAGACGGACATGTTCAGGCGGGAAGAATAAGAACAGACTATTCTTCCCGCTTTCTTCTCCGGAATGCCGGCATTGGCGACTACTACAAGAGATAGATGAGACTATAAAGACAAAGACGAACAGGCGGGCCACGCCAAACAAATACAGGTTAGAATTAAGTAGTTGACGAGGGAAAAGGTGAAATGGCCATTCAGGGGTACGAGAAAAAAAAGCAATACTTCATGAAAAGGTTAAAGATGCAAAAGATATCAAAGGTCAAGCCTGGCAGAAGCAACTGCTGTTTCGAATTTTTATCAGAGATCAAAAAGTCGAACTTGAAGAGCAGTTCTCGATCAACCCCGACATAGCACAGATGACGCAGGATGTAGAGTATTCGTTGGTGCAAGTTACACAGTTAAAATATATACATCGTTCTAAATGCTACCGACATCCATTAAAGTTTTCATGGAGGAATTTTTACTAGAAACATCTGGAATAGGTGGGAAACCTGTGGATTTTCTCGATTTTGTTGAGGCCGGGGGTGCGAATTTTTCGTCGAATGACGCAGTAATACCAGACATGTAGGAACTCATTAATTGCGATCTGGCATCGACCTCCTGAGAATGCTGTCTATTGAATAAAAATAAAGGCAACCTACAATTCTCTACGCATCTCGGCAGGAAGGGCGTTAACTGTCTTGAGTACTCCAGCATTCAATGATCGCCTAGTCTTCGTTGAAGTTGCCGAAATTAAATTCTAAAACTCAGAGGAAAAGGCAAAAAACCTCTTTTTCGAAAAGAAGAACATCTGCACTTGATATCTCATCCGCAAGACCACGATTCTGGCGAAAAGCGACGTATTTTTCGACTAGAGACGTGCTCGGAAGACTATAACGGTGGAGCAGTTCGACGACTAGAAGTTATTAAGAAATTATGCAGCAAACATAGAGAAAGGCATTCGTCATTGGTAGCTTTGAGGCCAAAAGCACCCAGGTCCTCCTTCAAATCATCCTGGATAACGGAGTCTAACGCACTCATCCGCAACTAGAAATAGCAGTCAGATGGCGCGCTACGTCAAGTACTATTTAAGTACCCGCGCGCAGCTCAAGTTGCTAAAGCTGGTAATGGTTATCCAAATACTTCGATGTTCTTTCGACAAAAGTCTGCAAGAGCCGAAACTGAGGTGCTACCCAACACTAACATATGTGCATTGGGTAAATGTATGAAAAGGCAACTCTAAGAAATGAATGGTATTGAACCCTGGGCCTATAAATTTACTTTAAAGTTTTCAGTATCTGGATTACAGGGAAACGTCGTTCACGGATCTGTGGTGGGATTATGCGGAATATAAACACTGGAGCGCTAAGTAACCGGTCCAGAAACTACCTACACCACAAGAACGTGTCAGGTAGGGCCTTGATATGAAAACTGAATATTGAAACGCGGGGAAAATACAAGGCTGGTCACCCGCAAAATTACCAGAAGACCGGAAAGACGCACTGGAAGAAACCTAGTTTAAGACAGACTAAAGATCGCCTTGTGAATAAAATCCAGCGTGGAGCGAGTAGAGCTGGAAAAAGCCGGAGGTGACCAGTCGATTGGGCTGCGGGAAATAATTTCAGCACCTTCGCCCCGTACAGCCTAGGGTAAACGGATAAAGAAATCCATAAAGAAGTCACGACACGGGCACATCCGTCCGTTCTACGCTCCATCTACCGAACTAATGGAAGTTAATTGCGCATAAGAAGAGGTTTTGCATCAGCATGCCGGAGCAAGACTACGTAGCAAGGGGGGTTAGTCAATGCTGTCCCCCAAAACCAAGCCACGTTCGCTTCAATTTCAGTCCCCTAAATAATTGCTAATGACATTTATCCAACTACAAGGGTAGACCTGGCAAACGAACTGGACGTAACGAGTCTAACTTCTTATATAAATTCCAAGGACAAGCTAAACTGGAAACTGAGTTGACTGCATTCCAAGGAAACCTAGAAGTTTAAAACCAAACGAGAAGCGACTTAAATCACTAAAAACCCTTCTCCGTTTCCGAATAAGAAGAAAAATGATAAACTGGAGTCCGACTGGTTCCAATCTTTATCCTCTGAGTTATAGGCAGTTGCAATGAGACTTGTAACAAACTTTCCGTATCGTGCGTGGCTTGGACTGCGCCCGTCGGTGCGATGACTTTTTCCAACTCATCACTACAACTAACCTCTAGGGACATCCCTTCAAGCTACGTGTGCCCCAGGGTAGATTGAATGTGAGGAAGTATTTCTTTTCCAACCGTGTCCTGGAACCGTGGAATAACCTGCCCGAGACGATTCTCATGTCTCAATTTGTGGAGACATTTAAATGTTAGCTTGACAGACATATGCAGCAGCGACAAGCGGACTATGTGACTTTTTAGCCATGAGACCAGTGACATATGTGAATCAATGTCTTCACTCAATTAATGCTGTGACTTCTTCGCATTTTTGATTATTTATCGATCGTTTTATGTACAAATAGGGAGTTCACAGGCGTAAGCCTATTCCCCTCAAAAACACTGACTGACTGACGATCGGGTCTCCGCACATGCATGTCGTCAACACAAGGACTGGTTAGGTGACAATGACATATAAATCAGCAGTCTGTTCTTCAAGACGAGTAGACTGCACAAGCACCGCTTAGGTCGCCGAGCTGACGTAAATAAAGCCGTCTTTTTCAGAAGTCCCTACCTTGGTCAGAAGTGACAGGAAGAGATGCGAAATGTGTGGATGGATCGCAAAAGCGAGGAAATGCAAAGGTTTGCAGACATGAATTATAGAAGAATCGGACAGATCAGAGTTGAAAAATCCTTTCCGTGCAAAATCTCAGTTCGTCCATCGCCTCATGCGTTAGTCAGTCAGTCAGTGTATTTGAGGTGAATAGGCTTACGCCTGTGAACTCCCTATTTGTACATAAAACAATCTATAAATAATCAAAAATGCTAAGAAATCACAGCATTAATTGAGTGAAGACATTGATTTACATATGTCGCTGGTCTCATGGCTAAACAGTCACATAGTCCGCTTGTCGCTGCTGCATATGTCTGTCAAGCCAACATTTAAATGTCTCCACAAATTGAGACATGACAACCGTCACGGGCAGGTTATTCCACGGTTCCACGACACGGTTAGAGAAGAAATACTTCCTCACATTCAATCTACCCTGGGGCACACGTAGCTTGAAGGGATGTCCCTGGAGGTTAGTTGTAGTGGTGAGTTGGAAAGAGCTATCTCACCGAAGGGTGCAGTCCATGCCACGCACGATACGGAAAGTTTGTATCAAGTCTCCTCGCAATTGTCTATGACTCAGAGGGTAGAGATTAAGGTTAGTTAAGCGGATCTCGTATGACAGCGCACTTTGACGTCTTACTAATTTTGTGGCTCGCCTCTGCACCCTTTCGAGCAGATTGTAATCCTGATGTGTCCGTGGTCTCCAGGCCTGAATTGCATATTCGAGATGCGACCTTACAAACGTGCCGAAGAATTTGGAGAAGCAGTCTTCATCGAAAACTGCGAATGCCCGCTTGATGACATATAGCATTGAAGTTGCGGCCTTGACCGCCTTACAAGATTGTGTAGACGGCTTTAGGCTGTCCGCAACCCAGACTCCGAGATCTTTCTGCGTTTCTGCATCTCGAAGTGGTATTCGGTTCAGATGGTATTGCCGCGTACTAGGAGTCAGATTTCCGAGGCACAGTATGGTACGTTTGTTCAAATTGAAGGACAAGAGCCATCTGCGGGACTACTCGTCCAATCGACAAAGATGTTCTTGAAATTTGGTCTCATCGGCAGCATTCTGGATGATTTTCCAGATTTGTCTGTCATCCGCAAACACAGCACTATCACAGTCTAACCCATCTACACAATCATTGATAAGTGAAAGTTATATTTTTGGATTCAATTTCTTAATCCCTTGCACAGTTTTCCAGTGTAGACCTGACAAAATTTTCTATTTTTTGTCATAAGTCTTCTTCGCTTCCTGTCGTGTTTCTGCGATTTGTCATAAAGCAGAAATCTATTGTCGCAGTTTTTCACCCAACATAGCCTCAATCCTATCAAGTCTTACCTGCATATACAAAAGGTTTTCCTCGTAAAAATATAGATTAACATTATATTTTGAACGATAAACCGTCTCCATTGACGGCTTCGTCGTCAGTTTATTGAGAATTATACTGTTATCTATTTTATCATACATAGCCTCATTATCCAATTCAGATTTATTCATAGTTCTGTTTTGCCACCTACGAAATTGTCATTTGCCCGTTTTTTTTTCAAGTTTGCATCCTGGTATTGAGTAAAACTTGTTTAGTATAAATTGTGCTGTCTGGTCCACCAATATTGGCAGCTTTCAGAAATAGTTTCATCATACATAGCCTCATCCATATATCCTCGACGTTTCGGCAGTTATCATCCATATAAATATTTGGACTTAAGTCTTGTATTGCGTTTCCGGCATGAAACCTCAAGCAACCCTTCGTCGAAATATGAAGGAAACTAAACTTCATCTGAAACCCATTGTTCATATGAAAAAAATTGATCTAGGGGCGCTTGGTGATTTTAACAACTTTATGTCTCGCTGCGGATCAATTTTTTCTGTCCTTGGTGCCCTTCTTGACGGAAATTTGCCAACACTTACGTCTCAGCAGTGTGAGAAGCTCATGCCTCTCATTAACATGGTTGCGACTGAGACTGAAGACAGGCACAAACGAAGTTTCAACTTTATATTAAAAAACGTTCCTAAGAGTAGACAGCCAATTGATGTCGCCATTCATTTCCTTTTTTCATGAAGCTTCAACTTTAGGGTCGCGGAAGCTAAAAGGCTTTTATCTAGGAGCAAGAATCCATCAATTCTTGTCAAACTCTTTTCATCGATAGAAGTGGATTTTATTTTCTCCCATTTGGAGCGCTCGACTCAATATCTCAGGGCAAATAAACTTTTTATTAGTCGAGACCAAACTCCACTACAACGAAAAGTTTCTCCCCCATTACCAAACGTAAAGCCACCCCCGAATTCTACTCAAATGCCTTTTTCCTCTAAAGTAGTTTCTCCATCTGGTGTCGACCAAATCACCCCACTATCTACAGCGGCCCCAGTTCCATCTAGCTTTCCGACTGATCACATTATCACAGAGACGGTTCAAACTGGCCTCTTTAAAACTCCCCCACGGAGCAAGGATTGTTCAAATGCGGCTCCCAAATTTATAAGGGAGCTTGATCTTAGCAGTAAAGATGAGCTAGTCCTTGAAGCACAACCGGCTCCCAGTACTCAGAATAATGATTTGGTTAATAAACTTACATCGAATCCACCCCGTTCCCACGCCTGGCCACTCAGGTCTGACCTTGCAGTTAGGTCTAATAAGCTAGATGAGAGTTCAGGGAGGTCTTTACCTGTTCCTATCCTGAATTCTCAACTTACCGCCACAGTTGTGAAGCCCTCTTACACATCAGACTGCAAAATGCAAGTATATTGCATTGCTGATAAATTTTCCAATCCCGTTGCTAGCCTGACACCCCAAATATTAAAGCCCTTTTCCTGATGTTAACTGTTTCCCGAAACCATTACGTCCGCCA